CCCAGTTCCATGCTGCTGTGCTGGCAGTGAGTGATCAATGTGTGATAGAGGAAGACAAGATTTTCTTTTCCCTTTCAGATTCATAAACAGAGTCTCACACACTCCTGTTGAGTCACAATTCAAATTCCAGGCCAGTTGACTGTTTCATGCATGCTGCTGGAAATCAGTTTAATCCGAGCAGACCCTCACCTCCACAGTGCGTGAGGCCATACAGGATGTATCCCTTGTTGCACAAGCACTCGAAGCTGCCAGGGTAGTTGATGCAGGTGTGGTCGCAGGTTCTCTCAAAGGAGCATTCGTCAATGTCTGAGGGAAACCAAGGAGAAACATGACTGATGAGAAACACTGGAGCTACACTGTTTGCAGTGGAAAGAGTTTGGAAAGGGGAAAAGGAGAAATTAGTGAGAAATCATCGTCAGTGACTTTATTTGCTGTTTTTTTCTGTTCTCCATCTCAGGCACATCAATAAACAGATTCAGTCATGCAGCCAGTGTCCAGTAGAAGTAGGACTACATTATATTTTTTTCAAGTTTACCCATCATTGCTAATCGCAGTCATCCAGTGAAAATATTGACTTGAAGAGTCTGCAGCTGTCTCTACATAAAAAAGATAACTTTAGATTTTTAATTTAAAAGCCACCTGTTTGGTGGCTTTAAGTTAACAAGTTTATCAATCATGAATGGAAAATATATTTTGGTTGAAATGTCGTTTTGCTATCGAGATGTAACCAGTAACAAGGAATCATCATGAAACTGTGTGTTTACATCCACAAAGAAAGGTCCATGGACGCTGTGATTGTGTCCGAAGACTTCATCTGCTGCTGGAGCTTACAGACAAGTGCCAGCCACAGTATCAGCTGAGTTCTACTTGTTGTAGGTGTTAACCTTTAATGGTTCAAAGCAGCATTGATGATCAGCAAACTGCACTGCCTCATCATTGCTAGTTCAAGGTCCAGTGTGTAAGATTTAGGTGGAAGGGAACTATTGGCAGAGATTTAATGTAGAATAATCCTCATGATGTTTTCACTAGTTTGTTTCATCTAAATTTTATGAATTGTAGTTTTCTTTACCCCCAGAAAAGGTCCTTTATCGAGGGGACCCTCTCTACGGAGGCCGCCATGTTTTTTACATTAGTCCAGACTGGACAAACTAAACACCTTTTGAGTTTTTAACTGAAGGCTACCACAGGTTCTTTTTCATGTTTGGAAGGAGAGGGTGATGTAGGGGTGTTCAGCTGCAACATGCAATTTCAACACTAGATGTCCCAAAATTCTACACACTGTACCTTTAAATTTTGCTGAAAAATATTTGACGGTTTCAGCATCAGTTTAGGAATTCTAATTCTGCTATGAAACCTACTTTTAGTATCCAATTATCCAATTCTGAAAAACATCAATACCAACTCCATGTGTGCTGTGTGTGTGTGTGTTCCTGCAGATGTATGCACATCTGCTTGTGCATGTGTCTAAATATCATAGCTATCAGGAATAGAGGTCAGTATTTGGAGCTGGTTTATTTTAGACTTGTCTGTAGGGCTTAACAGGGCTAATAATATAACATGATATAATGGAGTTTGTTATATGGAGGAAGTTAGGCCTGGATCTTGGCTCAGTAAATACTCCAGGAAACTGTCCAAGAGAGGACTTTGGAATAGCTCACCTGATTCGAGAGTTTACATAAACAGAGCTGGGCACACTGAAGTTGTCTACAATTGTTTTATGTTATAGGAACATGAAGAAGATGACTGCTGGTTTCTGGTTTGGCTTTTTTTCTCCTGAGACACACCCTTGGTTATGATGAGTTGTTTTGACAGTGACAGCTGACGTTTATCTGAGTGCTGACAAAAATTCATTCTTTCTTTGTGCCTCTCTAAACATTTAGAATAGAGGGGATATTTTGTGGAAATCTCTCGTGCAAATGTGGCAAACAATTCATCTTTCTGCACTGATGTCTCAGTTGGTTCTGGCAAATGCTCTATCACTAGCCCGGTGTAGTACCCTGAGCTATTTTCTCTGGAAAAGCTCCCAGGCACAGACAGAGCTGACAGATTAAACATTATATTTCATTTAAAGCTCGTGTTGAAGCTTAACAGCCCAGATGTCAGTAGATGAGACAAACCTGGCCGCTTTTGGCAAACATGACACACTGGCAAAGGTGTGTCTGCAACAGGCACTGATGCTATGATATGACTTAAAACACTCAACACCACTTTATTAAAGACTCCCAAAACACTTCTGATGTTACCCGCACATACACGTACACACTCACTCGACAGAAACCCACATTCACTCTTTGGTGGCTTTGGGTAACAGATTTTGTTGTTGATAAAAATAATTTTATTTGTCTATGCTTCTGTCTCTTGCTGTGACTTGCAACCAGGAATCTGCCTTTGGTTGTACAAACATTACCACAGATCACAAGTTGGCTTCTACATGTACGCTGCACACTCAAGTTGAGGAAGACAGCTATGCTGCTGCAACTGTGTGTGTGTGTGAGTGTGTGTGTGACCATTACTTCAGAAAGTGAGAGTCTGAAAGTAAGAATTAGTTAGTCACTGACCTTGGCATGTCCGTTCGTCTGTGAGCAGTTTGTGGCCTTTCTGACAGCTGCATTCAAAGGAGCCCACTGTGTTCCGGCAGAAGTGATCACAGCCTCCGTTGTTCTCCTGGCATTCGTCGATGTCTGACGGAGCAAATTAAAAGAATGACAAATGCAGTCCCCTTGTTTTTATTAACGTTTTTAGTTAGCAATGGTTCATTGTGCTGGGCGTACTGGAATGGTGCTTTCAGTGCTGGGCATCGGCTCCAGAAGACAGCAAGGAGCAGTTTTTGTATTTTTAGCTTGGGGCTTGTTTAAATAATATGCTTGTTACCTGGAACATGAACCAAAGTGGTTTCTTCATTTGGAAAAATACAGATACCATTTTCCCCAGCAAAATTTTTTTTTCAAACATGCCACAAAGTTCCTCAATTCAGTAGGTTTACAGAGGAGGAAGCCAAGATGACAGACACGGGTCAGAGAAAATGTAAAGTAATGAAAACGTTGGTGAGAAAAGAAAACAGCGTCAGGCCCTGTACAGACCTGGCATTAACATGTGGTTCTTTGTGATCCGATCACAAGTGGACAGCTCTGAGTGCCTGTGTTCACACCTGACATTATAATGTGGCCTGTGATTGGATCTCAGATCAGATCTCACCTCCCCACTCTATACAAACAAACACACACATCATTTCTGTGTTTGTCTGTGTCGGCACGAGCTAGCAAAACAGACGAGTCAGGAGAGTGAATCTCATGTGGCTGGAGAAATATTTTGACAGTTTAAGGAAAGTATCAATCATTTTGGCGATGGTCACAAACAGATCAATGAGAATACACAAAAGTAAGTTTGATTCATTGGGAAACTGCAGCGGGTCATTTAGCTGACACTTTTATCCAAAGCGACTTACAATAGGTGCATTCAAGATCTATGAGGGACCATTTTTTAGGGGGGGGGGGGTTCAGCATCTTGCCCAAGGACGCTTCGGCATTGGGCTGACCTTCTGGTTGGAGGACAACTGCTCTACCCCCTCAGCCACAGCCGCCTCACACTGTTAAAAGAATGTGGACACGTGGCCCAGACGACCTCCGAATGTGGTCTGGCATGATCGGATCCATATCCGATCTGAGTGTGTTCAAACCAATACTTAGAGCAGTCCACTGGAGATCAGATCACAAAAATCACACATTAATACCAGGTGTGCATGAGTTCACAGAGTTTCAGGGAAGCGTCGTCTAAATCACATGTGAGCCTTGAAGTGCAAAGTCATTTCTTAATCGTGCCAAGCAGAGAGGTGGTAACAGCCTTCTCTGATTCCCTTCTCTAATTTGTCTCTAAACCCTACTCTTACAAATTGAGTGAAAATGAAGCATAATTTATTTTCAGCCATCAGTGAAAAACATAAGAAGGTGTTAAGATGCTGATAATAATCATGTTTGTCCCGCAGTCAAACAAACAGAAAGGCCTGTGTTTGTGGTAGAAGAAGTGGTGTCCACTGAAGAAGTGTCCACTGATAGAAACCCAGTGGTATAAAACCTTTAGTTACCTGAGCTCCAGCCCAGGTGTACAAGGCAATCCGGAGGCCGTGCCAACCGCAAAGCTGCTGGCAGATCTGGTTTCAAAAACTTCCACGCATCCACCTCTCACTTCCTCCAGACTGCCATGCCCTCACATGAACCCAAACTGTAAGATCATGTCTTGTACCATCTTTTGTTTGCTTAATGACTAGCTTTTTCATAACAGAAACAAAATAGAGGGCGAGAGGGGTGAAATGGGAGCAAGTAGGAGGAGAAGGAAGAGGAGCAGGAGCAAAGGAGGAGGGAGGGGGCAATAGTCTGCAGATTACACAGGCTAAGCCCCTTTTGATTGGTGCTTTAAGTGATGAAAACTGTAGGGGATTACCACCTAAACCCTTGAGTTGGGGAACAAATCTAGAAATAGAGAAGGAACATGGATGAAGGTAGAAGAAGCCAAACACAGAAGAAGTGGGAAGACATTGATGGAAACAAGGACGAGAAACTTTTTGATTGTTTATCTGCTACAAATCACACATTTCCAATTCTCACAACCTTATCAAGGAGATGACATCATTAATGTGGGCTTCAAAACTAGTTCGAATCCCTGTTGGAAAATAAACCAGTGGTCTATTCGTTGGAAACAGTTTTATCATCAATAACATCACTTGACTTTCTCAGTATAAATGTGTTGTTACTGGGTATTTGCTGAAAATACAAACACTGACACTTTTCTTGGAGGACAGCAACATACCACTATCTCGGGGGTAACTTTGGCTCGGGCTGCTACTGTGTAAATTCCCCCGAATCTAATAAAGTGCAGGAAAAAGCTATTAAAGGGAAAATTCACCACTTTTTATGTGGCTGTCCAATCAGTGTTGATGGTAATTGTAGTCAACTGAAGCAATAAATTCCTCACTTGTGCTATAGTGACAGAAAAAAAGTTTTCAGAGCTTTCCTGCTTGCACAGCCGTTATCGCTATGTCTATACCATGGTTTCATTTCACACCAGCACCTGACGCTCAAGCCCCAGTTGTATAGGTAAGTATTATGTACACATCATTTGATTTATTGCAAGGACAGATGGAAGCATGCAAAACCAACACGTGTCGGACATAAACCCAACCAGGAGAAGCAGATCTGCACTAATTTTACTGCTAATTCTCCTCTCTGTTTTTCCTTCCCGCTGACAGTTTGCCCTTTTGAACTATAATAACGATTGGGCATCTATTCCCACAGCTGCTAATGTTAGCATTGCTAATTTGTGTCTCTGACCTCTGCTCTCTGACCTTTCACCTCCTGAGCGGGGGCACTTGAGGGTCACACACTCAGGTCAATTGGTACCTCCTTGTAGCAGTAGAGGGTTTTTTTGCATTTGCTTCCACATATTCTCTCTCTCTCTGTCTCACTTATTGTTTTCATTAGACCTCGTCAGAGCTGATACCTGATGGTGCACCAGTGTTCCTGGGCTCTCTCCCCTCTCTCCCTCCCCACTATCTCTCACTCTTCTCTCCCCTCTTTTCCACCCATCTCTCATCTCCTTCCCCCGTTTTCTTTGCTCACCCCAACCGGTCGAGGCAGATGACCTGGTTCTTCTAGAGGTTTCTCCCTGTTAATGAGGGAGTTTTTCTCTCCACAGTAGCCAAAGTGCTGCTCATTGTTGGAACTGTTGGGTTTCTCTATACATTTTTAAGGTCTTGACCTTCTATGTAAAGTACCTTGAGGTAATGTTTAGTATGATTTGGCGCTATACAAATAAAATTGAATTGAAATCTTTCAGATAAGGGTTAAAAGAGACCCAGGTCTATTCATTCTTGGCCTTCCCTCAAAGGAGGTGGCTCTGCTACATTTACAATTCAAACCTTATGACAAGTTGCTATTATTGGCCAAAAAAATGTATTTCGATCAATTGGACCAAGGATAAGCCACCTACTGCCACATTGTGGTACAGGGAGATATTCAGGGTCCTCTGTCATTAAAGAATCAGTGCCGTTCTGAAACATAGTTCATCCTCCAGTGAGGGAGGGGGGCAACAGCTAATATGTTTGTGAACAAATGGATGACTTTTTTGAAATTATTTTTTTACTTGTTTTTTTCCCCCCTCATGTTGTGTTGTATTTCTATGGTTAATGATAGATAATATATACCCTTTTTTTAAATTATACAATTCTATTTTTAAAGAAAAGATCAATCCAAGCCGTGTCCCAGTTCTTCCTTCAGGACAGTAGCTTGTAGGGCTAATCTGTAACAGTGACACAGCAGGAGGGATGGCTGCTATCTCCTCTCAGGTTGCACACGCTGCACATTTGCCTCAAACAAGACTAAAGAAGACAATCCTGCATTTAGTGATGTTTGAATGAATTTGTAAACTAAATATATCACATACCACGAGGAGAAAGGCTTCAAGATTAAGGCAAACTGGTTCCTGTGTACAGAGGTGTTGTTAAGGACAACTGTACACACACTAAGAAACACACACACCTCAACATTCCCTCTTTGCCTTCACCATCCCATGTAAAAACAACATATACCACCCCGGGTCTATCCAACTCAGCCACAGCTTTGTAATTATTCTTGAAGCCACAAACACTGACAGAATCACCACATATACCCTCACTTAATGGCCACTCCAGGGATGGCTGCTCTTTATAACGGGATATATAATTACCTTTAATGGAGCTTAAATAAGCTTTGAGCTTAAATAAATACATTAAGCGTCTGCACATCTTGAAATAATAAAGTTGGGAGAGAAGAGAGAGGACAATGCAGATCCAAAGTGGATGCATTGAGGGTTGACTGATAAGGTCAGACAAAGTCAGAGTTTTCTTCTCCTCTATCTATTCACGCATTTGCATTATTTTCTCACCAAAATCATTATTAGAGGAATAAATTCAATTTACAGCGACTGCAGATATCAGTAACAATACCAAGAGTTGGTTCACGGAGACTTTTATTCAGTCAGGAACACTTTGTCATGATTTACCCATTTCTTGCACAATGGGGATACAGTTATGAGCGCCGCTGAAGGCTCTATTCTTTGGATGTTCCCTGGTTTAGCCGAGCAGCATGCCAAGATAAAACAGGGAACATGTGCAGAACCCACCGGTGGGCGTAGCAGGCAAGGTAAGGTTTACTTAAGATGAATATCGATTCACCACAACCGTGTTTGGACTCGGTGCTAAAAGGTGGAGGCTGCGGTGGTGGAGGCAAGTTGCCGGCAGCAGGCGTGGCTGGCAGAGTAGCTGAGCAGGGATCAGTGAGGATGAGGTTTTGTTTAAAAAGGGACCACTTTGGTGAGAGAATCAGTAGCTGGCAGCTGAGCACATGACTCCGTGTCCTGCATGAACGCGATGCTTCATTTCTAATTGTAAAGGAGAACAGAGAGATAACAGCAGAATGAGTAACACACAAACATTGCTGTCCATGACACCATGATGTTAACATATTAACATAAAAAGGTAGGACTGTTGTGTTTGTGTTACACATGGACGTGCATCTTGATGTCATCATGAACAAACATCTGGGTTGCCAGAGGCCATCTTACAGGAAGCATTTGTTAATGAGGATGCTCCTGTGCAACTAATTAACACTCACATAGCACTGTGTATGGATAGCAGGAGAGAGGTTGAATC